CCACTACCGTAGATGACACAAGATAACACACCCACATAACAAAGCAACCACACACCCCACGGAATACGACCCCCCGGTGATAATATTGGGCGTTTCTGACAAACCATCGACTTTATCACCCGGGCTAGATAAGATAACACACCCCTGAGGTTGCGCCGCATACGTTCACGGGGGCGCTCCTTCTATCACCGGGTTGAAACGGCATCTTCCCCGTGGTCATCGCACACACCACACACAACACCGGCGTGTGGGGAAACATCCGGCATGTGGAGACCTCCCACAACATAAATGTGCAGGGAGAGCAGAATGCCCAAGCAAGTACCTCCACTTCTTCCACAAGTGCTTCGACCGCAACAGAAGCAACAACCGACAACAGATAATCCATAAGCTAAGTGCCCGGGGGGGCACGGGCGTGCGTGCGACTCCTCTTGCTAGAAAGGAAACCCACCGGGCACGTACAACACCTGTGGCCAAATGGCTACCCTGGCAGGGTGGCCAAAAAACACCCTGCCAAACTGGCATTCGACCCTCTTCAGCGTCTGGGCGTAAGAGAGCTGCCGGTAGGTGTCTTTCTTGTGCTTGTACCCGATAACTCGGAGGAGCAGTCGGTGGTGGTTTATCGCCGCAGATAGTGGCCGCCGAGTGGTAACCATGTCATGCAGCCGTACAGCAGTGCCTCCATCGCCTTCGCCTGCCTGGAGCAGGCGGATCTTGAGTCGGAATGGCGCTTTATTCGGTCTGTCGAAGAGCTCTCGGCCATATCGCCTGAGGCACGCCCACGCTCCTCTGCTCCTGTAGTTGATCTCCCGGGTGAGGTCGCCATGTTCGTTGACGAGGCCACCGAGGTACCGAAACTCGGTGGCATGGGCGTATTTCTGTCCCGCGGCTTCGGTGGTCAGCGGTGGAGGCGGGGGGGGCTGTGATGTTGTAGGCCGGCTTGTCCTTCGCGCACATCAGGAGCGTCTCCGCCTTCTTCTCCGACACCGTTAGCCCGAACTCCCCGAACACCTCAACGATGATGACCATCATTCTCGCCGGTCCTTCTGCAGACCTCGATACGACGCCGGCATCATCGGCATACAGCATCCCCCATACTGCCCTCCGTACTCGGTCAAAGGGTGCCTCCTTCCCCCCCCGGGGTTCCGTCTTCCCCTCCTCCAGGCACACCAGGCTCCGCAGAACAACATCATCCTCGCTGATCATGAACGTATGTGTCCCACATGGGGATTCATAGGATCATGTGATTGGCCAATCAATGCTGTACGGATGGCATGTCCTAGGAATCCCACGAGCGGTTTTGCAGCAGTATGCAAGACGCACGAGGGATAGATCCGCCTGGCGAAACGGCAGGGCATGCCTGATTGCTGTTGTTTACCTCGCTCCAACGGTCTCCATGGGGATTCAATTGGCGCATTTTGCAGATAACACAAGTCACGGGGCGGGATCCTCACCAGAAATTACAGTAGTCCACGCAAGGTGGATACGGAGGAGGGCGGGAGGCAGGGGGGAGGGGCGGGGGGACAACATTTTTCCGCCATTTTCCCAACATGCAACACTTTCTCGCTTTGGTAGGCACTGGCCAAAAGACACAGCAGATAGCAAATGTTCAAGAATTTCTATAGTACAGGCGGGCAGAGCTAACGCAAGGGCAGCAGAAGTACCGCCATCATCACTCATCACTCACTTGACGAACCAACACAGAACTCACGCGCAATGTCACACAGGCAAAACCCTGTCAATCGACGAACAACGTTGTCCTCTGGCAGGACATCACGCCGATGACACCAAACTGTAGCGGGAACGAGAAATGCCGGCCAACACCTCACCCGCCCACCTCAACTCACCCCCTTAACTCCCCCTTCACCCTTCTGGGGGCGTTCATCCTGAGACCGAGACCCGCTTACGTACAACACCACAACACCAAACCATACCATCTCCACATACTGCGTTTACATGGAAAAATACTGGTGGGATAACCTTCCCACTCAACACTCTTCCCAGTCCACCCTTCGCGTCAACAAGAGATCGATCGTGCATCCCGACCCGCTCGGCCTCACTTCAAGTTGCACAAACCATCCCTTGGCAAAATAACGAAGGAGCTGCCAACAACACAAACTGTTGTGTATGTAGCAGGCGGCATGCTCGGAACGACGAACAATCACACTTGGCTAGGCCTTGGCCCAACAACGGAAACTACGTTTACTTCGGGTGCCGCATCACTCCCCGCTCCCCGCTCCCTCCAAAAGTTGATCAACGCCGGCGCCCTCTCCTCCTCCTTCCGCTCGTCCACCCCCTCTGTCGTTAGCCTTGACGCGCCGCCTGGTTCTCGGCCTGCCGCAGCCGCCGCTACGCTCCGAAGAAAACCTCGCGGCCGATCCAACAACATCGCCGCCATCGCGAGGCAACGGCAGTCCTCCATGGTGCTCGAACCATGGGGGATTCCGTACCGTTCCGCTATCCGGAAAACCGCGAGACGAGGGGTCCGCTTCCCCTGCGGCGCCTCCGCCGCTCCCCCCACTGCAACTACCGGTCAAGGGCCCGAGAGAGCCACCGACGTCATCTCTATCGAGGTCGCGGCGACGGCGCTTGCGGCCCCTTCCCTGGACGTCCAAGCCCTCGCGTGAATCCACGCTCCTGCTCTTGACGCCCAGCAACATGGCCGCCGTGGCTCGCGTGCGATACATCTTCTCCTCCTGTTGCTCGTCCTCCTCCTCCTGTTCCTCGTCCTCGACGCCCCTACCTCGTCCCCGCAGCCCTTCGATACGCCCGCCTCTACCCCTTCGCGCCGGATCACCGGCGGCGTGACTGCCTCCTCCGTTTATTCGCCCCCTTCCCGATTCCCAGCGCGGCTTTTCTCGGGAACCCGAGGCGTCCAGTTCCCAGGGCTGCTTGTGCTGGTGCTCGTGGTGGTGGCCCCAGGGATTGTGCGCAAGCGGGGGGCGGCACACCGTGTCTCTGTGGCTGCAAGAGAAGAAACGGTAAAACCAGCAGCGAGGGACATGGCGTGAGAGTGCGGTAGTAAAACTATCAGAATCGGGTACGAAAATGTTGATGTGGGTTGGCTCTGTTTTGGTATTATTTTTTTCAATTTTCAGTTTGGGGGACGCGATACATCAATCGCTCCACACGCTCTCGAAACTATCAACATCACCTTGCTCGGAGAGAGTACAGTGTAGAGGCTTAACCTCTCAGCTTCTTACTGGTCGGTTTGTATCGAAAGCTCCAGCATGAACACAACATTCATCGCGGTCCAGGCCCGCTCCCATACCTCTGGTCGGAAGACTCGCCGCTCTCGAACATGACGTGGCCATCCGCGACGCTGCCCGACCGCGATGAGCCCGGTGACGAGACGGACGGTGACCGAGGGGGGGAACGCCGTCCGCTCGGCGACGTGAACCGCCTCTGCGGCGCCATCGCGGACGACTGCGCCCCGAGCGGCGAACCGCCTTCCATGGGGGAGAAGCACCGCTGGGGGGAGTGGATCGACGAACAGCCCGACTCTGAACCCCCTTCGTCCCCCGGTTCCCGCCTCCCGCGGAGGCTCCGGCGCGGGCTGCTCTGCGGACTGTTCCGCGGGCTGTTCTGCGAGCTGCTCTGCGAGTCGCTGAGGTTGTTCGGAGCGCCGCTGTTGTTCTTGAGGCTGGTCCGCGGACCGTTCTGCTGGAGGCTGCTCCGTTCTTTCGCCCTGGCGTCGCCCTCCTTCCTTTTGTCGTCCTCACTCCGGGCCACCGCCGTCTCGCTCGCGTCGTCACCGTCCTGAGATCCGCCTGACGACGCCGGGGAGTTCGGCAGCAGTGCGGGGTTAGAAGAGGCGTTTCTCCGCCTCTCGGCCTCCGAGCCGTCGTCGCTGGCCGATCTCTCTCTCCCTTCGCCGCCCCCGCCGCTGCTGTTGCTCTGGTACCCGCCGTCGAGGTCTCCGGTGGTACTGTTCTCCGAGTCCGAGATGGTACCCTCGCTGTCGCCACCCGCGCCGCTTCCGTACCCCCTGTGAGGTGGTGATTGCAACCGGGAGGATTGTCTTGAGGGAAATAGAGGGGCTCCGTGCGTGTCACCGCTTGGAATGATTCGCGGCAATTGGTTTGACTCGACTGCATTCTGTAGACAAGGCTTGGGAAAATGGGGCATAGATACGAGTCACGCTGTGGAGAATGTCGATTCACGATCACGCGGCTGACCACCAAACGGCACATGCATCACGAGCAAGCTGCCATCAAAGAAAATGAGCGAAAATGCGAGACGGTCGAAAGCATTAAACGTCAGCGTTATTTTTTCGTGTCAGTGACCGAGCATAATCCGTAGCTTTTCGATTGCCACGTGGCCCCCGTACGACAATGGCACATTACGTCTACTGACAAGGGTCACACCACGACTCAGCCACTTTTCGCCGCCAAACGCTACTTGTATACATGTAGACAGACACGAACACGGTCCAACCAACCTTCCTCTGAGCACGTCAGACTCGAGAGCGGCGGCAGCGAGTCTCTCGTGGTCCTCGAGGCTGAGAAGCTGCTCTTCTTTCTTGGACATGTCCCTTCGGCAAGCCTGAGTGGTGCAAAAGTTCACCCGAAAAGAAGGGCGGGTCAAAGCATGTCCACCAATAAAAGCATCCTATGCATACATCTACCGTGTCGTGCCCGCTAAAAGCAACGTAGACACGCCACCGATGAAGCTCCTGTCTGTACATAGACGGTTTATAAGCAACAAAACAAATTGTACGCGGCGTAAACTGTTCGAGCGATTCCTTTTCACAGCAATTGAAAAGCAACAAACCAGGAGCTATTTAACCAATTCAAACCTCCGTGATGAAGCCGACGTGACCGGGCAGCGCGAAGTCCCCGCGACTGTAACCCGGCTCGATTTCGTGAACCTGGCGTGCGATGGAGGAGGAAGGGGGAGGGGACAGTAGTCAACCACCCGCAGACTGCTGTCAAGTAACGTGCGAGACAGGCAAGGCCTCGTTCCACTACACGAGGTGAACAATCATGAACCGAACCTATTGAGACTACTGCTTGTGCGCACGTAGTACCAGCATATCTCCCCTTGTCCACGCGTCCGGCTCATGAACGGTTTCGCCGAATGGGCCAAGAACTGACACATAATGCACGAATCGGTCTCGATGCTTTCATACTTCATGCATCCTACGGAAGCTTAACCCTCGACGTGCCGGAAAACCCGTATGGTCCCGCCAACCTTGCTGCGGGGCTACGCACGAAAACATGGTACACAGAAGAGGTCCCGATATAATGCCGGTGTTTCCAGCGGGCACAGACTGAACTACCAAGTTATTCTGTGCCTGCGCCTGGTAAAGTGCAGGTCAAACCTCTGGGCACGCACCGGCACAATATCGGGACCTCCACAACCATATGTAGAACGCTTGTTTCTCACCTCTGCCAGGTTGTGTCCCCGGTGGTCCGCCCAGCTCACACGCGTACCGCTCTCCTCGAAGGTCGGCACCGCGGGCAGCAGAGACGACGCGCCTTGGGGCCCCGGGAACGAGTTCATGTACATGCCCGAGTCGTAGTCGCCGGAGGCGTAGTAGGTGTCGGCCGCGCCGGCGGGGGGCGGGGACCGGGGGCGGGGCCACCAGTCCCCCGTCCCCTCCCAAGAACCGTCTTCGGACGCGTTCGAAGGGTGGTGCCGAAAGTCGGAGAACCTCCCGGCCTCCTCTCGGTAGAGCGGGCGGAACATCCTGTTCTCGCCGCCGTGCCAACGGGAAGAGCCTACCCCCTCATCCCCCGACTTACCCTGGCGTGAGCCCCCGTACCCAGCCCGCTGCGGGCTGTTGTGCTTGCGCGCCGCTCGCCGCTGCTCGTCCTCCCTCCCGCTGTTCGACAGATCGAGAACCCATGGCTCCGTTTTGGAAGCCCGGCGCCACGAGCTGCGCCGCGGGTGCCCTTTCCTTCCTCCTGATGTACCCACGACCGCCCGGCCCGCTCCTGGAGCGGATCGATTGCCGCTGCGTCGCGCGGGCACAGAGCTGGGCTCGGGTGAGCCTCCCAGGGCTCCAGCAGCAGCAGGGTTACTGTTGCTGCGGCTGTTGCCGCCGTTGCCGTGCTGCGCTTCCCCTTGACCTTTTTCTCCTTTCTTCATCTGATGCCCTGCCCCTTCGCCTGCAAGCTCGCCGCGCGCGCCTTCTCTAGTCGGACTGCCGTCCGCCGAGCCCGAGTGGTTGGACGCGGACCGCTTGCCTTCGTCTGAGGCTCTGGCATCATCTTCTCCGCGCACGCTGCCGGCGTCGCTACCCCCTCCACGGCTACTGGTGTCGTCACCACCGCCTTGTCTGCAGCGCCATCCCTTCAGCTGGACCGATCTCAGGCCCGGTCGATTCCCCAAGTTCATCCCCGAGAAAGGAAGCGGGGGGTCAAAGTGGTTGCTCATGCTGTCATTGCCACCGCCGGCACCTCTGGGGTCTCCGGCTAGCTGCCCGCTGCTACCGCCGCGGCCGCCGCGGCCGCCGCCTCTCCAACCGGGTGCGTATGCTCGTCCCCGGGTAGGCCCGCCGTACTCCCGGAAGCCGACCGTACCGCCGACCTTGCCGTTGGCGCGCCAAGACTCGCCTTCCTTGGAGTTCCAAGGCTCCGGTCGACGGACCGGGTAAGGCATGCTCGCCCCTGACGGGTGCTGAAACTGTGACAGTGGGCCGCCGCGGCCGTAGTCGGCCGGCCCCGCCGCGGCCGCTGACCCGCGGTTGCGAAAGAAGAGTCCTTCCTGGACGCCCCTTGAGACCACGGCGTGCAGGTGGGCGCGTAGTTGGTTGCTCGCCTTCGTCATGGACTCCAGGCCATGACGCTCCGCCAGTCTTCTGAACTTCTTCGCGACGCGAGCGATTTCCTGGGACGCATGGCAAGGGACACATACATACATGTGAGACGGAAAATCCCGCGACAAGGGAAGAGCACAGAACCGTCATCAACACAGGCATTTTGGTTTGGACAAAAACGGCACAACACCGAGAGAGAAACGCTTCCACAATCATCAAAACTAAGCGCGGGAGAACTTCAGATTCGAGAGTATTTCACGAGAAACGTGAAGCAAGTGGTCCACTAGCTGCGAGCAAATACGCGTATACACTTATCGTTAGACAACCACTTTGCGCAATCGTGACCACGGCGGTAACAGCGTCTTTGTATCTACATCGCGCTATCTGCAGCAAAAAATCGCCGGGCCACACAAAAAAGCACGACGAAATGACGCACACTCCAGACTTCGGGACGGGCGGGGAACACATCAGCCGCCTTACCGTCTCCCTCAGCATGTCCACCGAGATCGGGACGCGCGCTAGGACGCACAGCAGCCCTTCGACATACAACCGACCACCGACCCCTTTCCACTGTGGGGGGCCAGCCCTTGCCAGCTTGTGCGCCCTTACGCGTTCCCACACGTCCCCGAGCCAGCCGTACAGCGCTCGAAACCCGCCGCAGCGGACGACCACGCTGAATATGGAGTTCGTACTGGCATGGTATATCAGCGACGTGCGGGACGAAGAGTGTGAGGCGACGTTCTGGCACGAGAACAAAATGAGACTTGACATCGCAACCAGAAGTCTGTTTCACATGCGCGTACAACCAGAACGGAGCCCAACTGTCTCCCTAACACGCCACGCAAGCTTTCCCCACGAGTTTGTCGCAGGAACAGACGCGGTGTGAAAACATCCAAATAACATCCAATCCACTCTACCATCAAACCACTCCGCGTTGGGAAACACCATGTACTTTACGTACGGTGCCACCCCACGTTCGGAAACACTGTATACTTTGTGTACGGTTCACGGAACTCGCTTCACAGCAGTCCCCGCCGCCCTTTTCCCGAAGAGTCGCCTCCGCCTTTTCCCCAAAGAGTCGCCCCCGCCTGCCTCTTCTCACCTGAAGTAGAGCAGCCGCACGGCTTGCACCCTTCCGGCCAACGCGATGTCACGCCTCACGAATCTCTCCGCGAACTCAAAGGCACAGTCCGGGTGAACGGCCAATCGCTCCGGCGTCCTCGCCGCTGCCACCCCCGCCCCAGCCGCGCCCATTCCCTCCCCGACAGGAGCGTCGCCAGGCGTCGCGACGACACCCCTCTCGTCACCTGCTCCTCTACCACGTCGGTCCCGACTGCCCTTCGCCATGCAGTTGATCTCCGCAACGAGAGCTAGGTCTCGAGGGTCGAGCTCAGACCTTGCCAGGGGCCCCGGGGGTGGGAGCGGGACTACAGTGCGAGGGTTCTGGTTGCGGTTACGCGGCGAGGCGAAGGAGGCGGAGGTGTTCCTGAAGCGGCAGAAGCAGGACGTTTCCCGGCAAGAGCAGGCGGCCTTGCCCGCTGTCATCCTACGCTTGGTGAAAGAGAGAGAGCGCGCGAGGGTGGGAAGGGAAGATAAACGAGGAAGAGGACAAGAGGGTAGCGAACTTGTGCAATGACAACCAGGAAGTCTTGGTGTTGGGTACCCTATTGCCAACCCGTGTGCGCTTTCAAGTACCCACCACCCGAGGGATTCATGGCCCTGTCTGTGAACGACACAAGACCGTCAGGGGGTGAGTTGGATATAAAATACAAATCTAGGCAACCTAGCACGTATCAGTGCTGCAACGCAGTTGGCGCCCACCTAGCTCGCGCGAGGGACAACCCCAACAGAACGTCTTCCTCTCCTTCCTCGCTCCACGTGGAGCACAACTCAAGGGACAGGTCTCGGTCCCTCACTCTGTTCCGGGAGGAGTCCCCGCTGCAAACTGAACTGGCGCCCCCTGTCGAGCTCGCGGTGCTCGCAACCTCGCTGTCCGTGCTAGCTGTCGCATCAAGGTCATCCTGTGAAGTCATTTGTAGGGGGGGGGGGGGGGGGGGGGGGGGGGTTTTTTTTTTTTT